TATAAGGATTTACTTAATTGGATTTTTTGGGTTAAAATGGAAAAAGGGACACAACAAATTTATTTGAAAAAACTATGAAATGGGCACACACACAAATGGCTACCAAATTAATTAATTCCTCAAAAAACAATAACTACAAAAATTGGAATTAGTTTTCAAGGGTATTGGGATAGAAACATAAAGTGAGAGGTCACATGACAACTATGAAGTTTATAAAAGTCACATGTAATTGGATGCCAATTAATTAATTGGATGACTAATTAATTCGAAAAAAAATGCATTTGGTATTGCATGGATAAAAACTGTGAAATGTTCAAAGGATATGTAAAAGAGGGGCTTTAACCAGCTCAAAGAGACTACTTTAGATGTTCAATATTCAATCTAACCTCGGCATCAACATATGAGCATAACACGAATAGGAATGACAGAAGATGGCGATGCCTAAAGGAAAATGGAAAGACTAAAAATCAAGGATTCAAACCACTGTACAAAATTCACTGAGGCGTTGTTTCTAGACAACGATAGATGGCAGACCCATCACTTAGGACAGACTACGGCAGACCAAGACTCTACATAGGTGAAATAAAACAAACAATGATATAACGAAACTAACACAAGGACTAATCTATTAAAAATCGACGGCGGGCATGATTTCCGATCACTGGAACATCCGAATCTCAAAATTCCAACGCAATTAGAAGAGTGCATATCTGACTTAGGACTATTGACTTTGCTCAAAAATTAGCAAAATGGCGGACCTACGGAAATTATTATACCCTACACAACTATGTTGTCAGGGTATGATAGCTTTGTGCAGGACCAAGAATTTGTAACGCCGCGAAATATTGATCGTGGACCCACCTTTAAGTATACCGATCGTCATATCTCGACTAGCTGAGTAGATCTAGACATGTGTGGACCTACGGAAATTATTATACCCTACACAACTATGTTGTCAGGGTATTATAGCTTTGTGCAGGACCAAGAATTTGTAACGCCGCGAAATATTGATCGTGGACCCACCTTTAAGTATACCGATCGTCATATCTCGACTAGCTGAGTAGATCTAGACATGTGTGTCCGTCCGTCTGTCCATTATATTTTGTAAACACGATACAAGCTACAGTTATGGACCAATCTTCACGAAATTTTGCATGTAGGACCGGTTCTGGCCAATGAAGACCCCTATTGTTTTTGGTAAAGATTGGTTAATATTTAGGGGATGTAATGGACCAAATACTTAATTTTTGTCGATTTTTCTGGTCGCTCCAGAGGCCGCAATTATGGCCCAAACATCTCGAAACATTTTACATGGAGAAGGGGATTGGGCCAAAGAATAAGCATGCCTGCTTTGATAAAGATGGGTTGACATGGGATGGGATGACAAAATTTGTATTCTGTAGTGTTTAGATTTACCCTGAAGGACATAGATCCGAGAAGTTGATAGTATATCCAAGAGAAGTGGTTGGCCTTTAAATTAATGCCAATTATATTGTTGTATGTGCTCGGATGTGGGAGTTACACCTAAATATTAACAGGTATATACGTATTCAGATATTATTTAATAATTAAATACCACACTACGTGACGGAAATATAGCGCGGACTGCTTTTAAATGTTCCATGAGGTTCCTGTTCCAGGACAACGCCTATAATTTTCGGCGATGACCATATAATAATGTTGGGATGAAGTGGACCGAAAACTTATTTTTTGTTTTGTTTTTTTTTCTTTTTTTTGATTCGATCTATAGGCCACAATTGAAAGCCGAACATCACTACACAATCCACGGTGAAGGGAATCTGGACAAGTAATTTGAAGGGGTGTGCTGAGTATTAGTAATATTTATTTTATTTATTTTATTTTATTTTATTTTTTCTTTTTTTTTTTGAAAAATTAAATATTTTTTACTAAAAACCATGCTGGAAAATATGGAAGATCCGATTGGACTTATTCTAGTTCATGCGATAGCTATGTACAATTACGTGTTAAAATTTTGATTGGATTAATAGTTTTTGAGTTATCGTGGCCCCAATCGTAAAAACGCTGTTTCGAGGAAAACACGTTTAAAGTTTGAGAAACGCTCTTGTCGTTGCTTGATCCTGACTCAATAAATCGACAATATCTGCAGGAGTTGTTGACATTTTCACTTGAAATATGAATGAAATATTCATGAGAAGTTACAGGTCTATATGAAATAAAATAAAAAACAAAGGCAAAAATGCAAGCCAAGCGCCTAAATTGTGAATGGTGTTTATGGTTTAAAACATTTACACAAAGCTGGATTCAAAAAGAATCTCGATGTTTGCGTGGGACACCAATTAACAGAAAAATATGATGGATCGAATTTCCATCTGCGATGCCTTGGCCCAACGGAATGAGATAGGCCCATTTCTTAAACGGATGGTGACTGGAGATGAGAAATGGTTCACATACGATAACCCTGGGCGTAAACGATTGTGGTCAAAGAGCGGTGGAGCGCCTCAAACGGGGGCCAAACGGCCAGGAAACTTCTGTTATGCATTTGGTGGGACTGGAAGGGGGTTATTACTACTGTCAACAATTGGACCGTTTGAAGATAGCAATTGACCATAAACGGCCAGAATTGGCCAACAGGAGAGATGTCGTGTTCCACCAGGACAACGCTAGGCCACACACATCTACAGTGACTCTTCAGAAACTTTAGGAGCTTGGTTGGGAAGTTTTAATACATCCGCCATACAGGCCAGATAAAAAATTGGTATCTAGGGAGGATTGTGAATATTGGCCAGAATTGGCCAACAGGAGAGGTGTCGTCTTCCAGTGACTCTTCAGAAACTTTAGGAGCTTTTGGGAAGTTTTAATACATCCGCCATACAGCCCAGATAAAAAATTGGGAGGATTGTGAAAATTGACTACTACATTTTTTTGCAAATAGAAAGGAGGACTTCTATGAGAGAGGCATCATGGAATTGCCTTTAAAATGTCAACATATCATACAACAAAACGATGCATATTTGGCCCGAATCAGACATTCCCAAACATGTTAAATAAAATCATATAGTTCATATAAAAATAATGAATTTTTCCCCAACCTAATATATAAAGACTTATCAGGTTTTGAAAGTATTTTAACTCGATGGTGCTATTGGAAGACAGATCACCAATTTTGCTGTCGCATTTTTTATCCGATTTGGATGAAATTTGGCACAGCCCACTTATTTGGCCCAAGGACAAGAACCCTATTGAAATTGGGGAAAATCGGTTCAGATTTAGGTATAGCTCCCATATGTATTTTCGCCCGATTTAAGGTAAATGGTGCACCAAACACCCTATATATCTGTCGACATGCACGAAAGTTGGTACAACGTACTGACGTAGATCATGCACTTTCACGGCAAACACCTTGAGAGTCATGAATATTAGGTCATAGTCCTCATTAGGAATTATATTTAATAATGGTGAAGCGCAAACTATTGCAGAAGTTCTCGAAAATGTGTTTATCAAACTAATTATATATAGAACTAGCATATGCCCGCTACTTCGCCAGCGAATATGGGAAGAATTTAAAACCCAATACCGACCATTATTAAAATTTTAGAACTATTTAGTACGTATGTTTTCTTATAGTAAGTATTTTCAAAACTACCTACATATCTCAACCCTACACACCAATTCTGACCACAACAGAAATCTAGGTCTATACTAAATTTGGTATTATATATCACCATTTGTATTTTTGTAATACATATTTGGAAAAAAATTTCAGATATAGGTTCACCCAAATCCAAATTTAGTACGAGTTGATATAAATTTCCATAACTACCTAATTTAACAATCATAAGTACGATTGCTAAAGTAGGTAACAAATTTAGAACCATTAAGTACACATAAGTACAAATTTCCATTACAACCTACATCATGCAATCCAATGGAAATCCTATTACACAATTTCAGGATTCCAGCTCTATCGGTTCACTTTTAATACAAATTGTACCAAATTTAGTGACGTTTAGTACACATAAGAAGATATTTCCAAAACTTCCTGCATACCCAACACTCCAACAGTGTATATCCTAACTCCATATGTGAAGATTCCAGTTTTATTGGTTCACCCAAATCCAAATTTGATACCACATAGTACACATTAGTACGAATTTTCAAAATTTGCTACATACCCCAATCCGACACCCCAGCAATGATCCTAACTCTAAAATTAAAATTGTACCAAATATAGTTCCGTTTAGTATTTTTCGTACACATAAGTACAAATATTCAAAACCACCTACATATCCCAATCCTACACTCCGACGGTAATATTAATTTCAAATTTCAGGATTCCAGTTCCCGTTCCGTTCCTCCAAATACAAATAATACCAAATTTACAACCGTTTAGTACTTTTCGTATATATGACTAAACCCTTCCAAAACCGCCTCCTAATTTCGACCTTACTTCTCAACCTTGATTCGCAGTTCAAATTTCAAGTTTTTAGCTCTATCCGTTCACATTCTACGAAGTTGTAACAAATTTAGTACTTTTCGGATACATATAGTTCGAATTTTGGTACATTTATCCTACCACCCCATCACTGGTCCTCAATCCAAATTTCAGAGTTTTAGCCAAATATAAACAGTGCCATATTTTTTAGTACTTTTCGTGGCGTTCTAATACGAATTTGCTAAAACCCAGTCCTATCTGACACCTTTGGACTAAAAGTGACCCTCACTCAAAATTTCAAGATTCCAGCTCCAGCTATTGCGTCTGGGCGTTGATGAATCTTTAAGTCAGTCAGTTAATCACTTTACTCTTTTATTAGTATAGATAAGCCTGCCAAGACACTTCTAAGTATGGAAGACCGATTTGAAGGTCTATTTGTCCACAATAGGTTCCATGTACGGAATTTTTCTCAAAAAAATATTTTGTCTAAATTAAAAATATTTCATCTAAATAAAATTTATAAAATTTATTTTATCTAAATAAATCGCCTCCTCAATAACCAAATATGTTTCCCTTCTCCTTCTAGAGATGCATTGGACGGGTTCGGTATCACGGAATGCGGTTCACTGGCCTGCCTATCCAGCCCTTGCCGCAATGGTGCCGCTTGCATTAAAATCGAAACCAATGAAATTGATGAGAATGGTGACAAGGTGGAAAAATGGAAATGTAAATGCCCGTCTGGTTACATGGGTCCCACCTGTGAGATATCGGTGTGCGAAGACAATCCCTGTCAATATGGTGGAACTTGTGTACAATTTCCGGGTAGCGGTTATCTATGTTTGTGTCCTTTGGGTAAACATGGACACTATTGTGAACACAGTAAGTCATTTCAAATTGAAGAAAGAGAGAAAAGCGAAGAGTATTGTAGAGATGCACCCCCATACCCAGTTTGTAATTTCAATTTTTATTTAAGAAAAAAAGAAGAAGAAAAATAATTTTTATGATTTTTTTATAAAAGAATGCTGCATATTCCATTGAAAATTTGTGTTTTTAGAAAAAGAAGAATATTTTAATTTTGTTTGGTAAGAATTTATTTATGAAATATTTTAAAATTTTGTTGGTTGATAACGCAGCTGCTAATGAACCAAGGAATAACAAATTATTTTTTTTAATTTATTTTAAACCAATCCTTATCCCCATCCCTTCCTAAATAACAAAAAAATAAATATCCCATCCCACTTCCCTTTCTTGCACCACAAAAAAATACAAATACGCTCAAATACTTCTTAGCCTACCTACCTCCTTTGTCAATATTCCTTGATGCAAATGCAAATTTTTCAGACCTGGAAGTGGCTCTGCCCTCATTCTCGGGCAGTGTCAATGGCCTCTCTTCTTTTGTGGCCTACACCGTGCCCATACCGCTGGAATATTCCATGGAATTGAGTTTCAAGATTTTACCACAGACCATGTCGCAAATAGCTCTGCTGGCCTTTTTGGGCCAACCGGGCTATCACGATGAAAAGAGCGATCATTTGGCCATTAGTTTTATACAGGGCTATATTATGCTCACCTGGAATTTGGGTGCCGGACCACGTAGAATCTTCACCCAAAAGCCAATCGATTTCCGTTTGGACGCACCACGGGTGCCCTATGAAATTAAAGTCGGACGCATTGGGCGCCAAGCATGGCTATCCGTCGATGGTAAATTTAATATCACTGGACGTTCGCCGGGCAGTGTCAGTCGCATGGATGTCTTGCCGATTTTATATTTGGGTGGTCATGAGATTGCCAATTTCAATACCCTGCCGCATGACTTGCCACTGCATTCAGGATTCCAAGGCTGCATTTACGATGTCCATTTGAAGGCCGGTCAGGTTACAGTGCCACTGCAGGAGACACGCGGCGTACGGGGTCGTGGTGTGGGCCAATGTGGTACACGAGAATGTCATCGACATGCATGTCAGCATGATGGTGCATGTCTTCAGCATGGAGCGACATTTACGTAAGTTCGAATGGAGAAGACGAACAATAACATCAGAGAAATGCGATCAAATAATTAATGCCTACTCGTTTACTTTCTTTCTGCCCGCTCTCTTTCCCCTCTCTTCCATTACACAGCTGCATATGCCAGGAGGGATGGTATGGCCCATTGTGTGCCCAACCCACAAATCCTTGTGACTCATTTAACAATAAATGTTCCGAAGAATCGACATGTGTGCCTTTGGTCAACGGTTACGAATGTGACTGTCCGGTGGGTCAAACGGGCAAAAATTGTGAAGAAGGTAAGTGGATAACATTTCTCGAATGTGCCCAACAAAATGAAATTCCATAACAACATCACCAATGCCAATATATCAAAATGCCATGTGCATGAAATGTAAATTCAAGAAATACAAAATGTGTGTAAAGTGCTAATTGGGAATATGTATCATTTTATGGACAACTTAGCACGGGTACTGTGTGGGAGACAGGCCGTAATGTGAAGGATTATTTTGGGTGCCAGGAGTAATTGCCAAAGTTTGGATGTGTGTTTGTCTTGTGTTTAGAACATATTGGGCAATGTTATTAATAAATGAAAATGCAATTAATTAACATATGAAAATTTAATGTGAAAATATGTGAAATGTTGAAAACAGGCGGTTGAGAGATTCTAGGATAGTGCATATGTTTATACAAGTGTAGATGTTCAAAAAGTAGTCTCAAGGAGGTTTCAATTGGATAGAGGCGTTAACCCTTTCAGTATCAAAAACGTTTTTGTCGGAATAAACATCTAAAATTTTGTATTTAAGATCATATAAAGACACATAGTTTAGAAAAAATAGCATTTGTCATTTTAACCCTCGGCCAGTTTCGTCTGTCTTTCAGCAAAAACAAAAACATCAATAGTAACGGTACATATCTTCATAGCCATCATATAGAGCTCATGCCCCATTTTCGGTATTTTTAATGTCTACACTAAAATCGTAAATGTGGATTTTTGGAGAAAAAACTTTTTTGTAGAACTATTTTGATAAAAATCCATATCGACAACATGTAAGCATATGTGGTCGACCGGGTTCGAATTCTCGTGGTCAAAATTGTTGTTGATATAATTCGAATCTACAATAATAAAAGAATGTCCCTACAAAATTTCAAATGAAAATCTCAAGAACTCATGAAAATATAGTCGATTTATTGTGTCAGCATCAAGAGACGGCTGAAGGGATTCTCAAACTTTAAACGCGTTTTTCTCTAAACATTTTATATATATATATATATAGATCTGAATCGATTTTCACGAAACTCAGCACACATCATTCCAGCATCAATTCAGAACGCTATGCCAAATTTTGTGCAAATCGAAAGATACATGTGGTGCACCATTTACATTAAATCGGACGAATATATATGTGGAAACTATATCTAAATCTTGACCGATTTTCACGAAACTTGGCACACATCATTCTGGATTAAATTCAAAACGCTATGCAACATAAGAACTTGGTACATTATTTAGATTAAACGGGCGAAAATATATATATATATATCTAGAAACTCAGCACACATCATTCCAGCATCAATTCAGTACGTTATGCCAAATTTCGTGCAAATCGAAATATATATAGTGACTTTGGTGCACCATTTACATGAAATCGGACGAAACTATATATGGGAGCTATATCTTAATCTGGACCGATTTTCACGAAACTTTGCAGACATCACTCTAGGCTCAATTCAGTACGTTATGCCAAATTTCGTGCAAATCGAAATATATATAGGGACTTTGGTGCACCATATGTCTTAAATCAGACGAAACTATATATGGGAGCTATATCTTAATCTGGACCGATTTTCACGAAACTTTGCAGACATCAATCTAGGCTCAATTCAGTACGTTATGCCAAATTTCGTGCAAATCGAAATATATATAGGGACTTTGGTGCACAGTTTACATGAAATCGGACGAAACTATATATGGGAGCTATATCTAAATCTGGACCGATTTTCTCGAAACTTGGAACACATCATTCTAGGCTCAATTCAGTACGTTATGCCAAATTTCGTGCAAATCGAAAGATATATAGGGACTTTGGTGCACCATTTACATGAAATCGGATCGAAATATATATGGGAGCTATATCTAAATCTGAACCGATTTTCACGAAACTTAGCACGAATCATTCTAGGCTCAATTCAGTACGTTATGCCAAATTTCGTGCAAATCGAAATATATATAGGGACTTTGGTGCACAATTTACATGAAATCGGACGAAAATATATATGGGAGCTATATCTAAATCTGGACCGATTTTCTCGAAACTTGGAACACATCATTCAAGGCTCAATTCAGTACGTTATGCCAAATTTCGTGCAAATCGCAAGATATATAGGGATTTTGGTGCACCATTTACATGAAATCGGACGAAACTATATATGGGAGCTATATCTAAATCTGGACCGATTTTCACGAAATTTGGCAGACATCACTCTAGGCCCAATTCAGTACGTTATACAAAATTTGTGCAAATCGAAAGATATATAGGGACTTTGGTACACCATTTACATTAAATCGGACGAAAATATATATGGGAGCTATATCTAAATCTGAACCGATTTTTCCCAATTTCAATAGGGTTCGTCCGTGGGCCAAACAAATGAGCTGTGCCAAATTTCATCCAATTCGGATCATAAATGCAACCTGTACTTTGCTCACAAAAATACAACAGACAGACGGACGGACGGACATGCATAAATCGACTTAAAAAATTTCATGCCAAAAGGAACCATCGGCCGTTTAAATTTGCCTGTTACAAACATATGCACAAAGACATAATACCCTGTACCACAGTGTGGTGAAAGGTATAAAAATCGGACGAACATACATATGGGAGCTATATCGAAATCTGAACCGATTTCAATAAAAGTTGGCACACGTTAGCCTATCCTAACTTCGGTACGTTGTGCAAAATTTCATGCCAATCGGCCTAAATTTGCCTCTTTGATGCACCATTTTCCAAAAATCGGACGAACATATATATGGGAGCTATATTCAAATCTGAACCGATTTCAATAAAACATGGCACACGTTAACCTATCCTAACTTCGGTACGTTGTGCAAAATTTCATGCCAATCGGCCTAAATTTGCCTCTTTGATGCACCATTTTCCAAAAATCGGACGAACATATATATGGGAGCTATATTCAAATCTGAACCGATTTCAATAAAACATGGCACACTTTAGTCTATCCTAACTTCAGTACGCTGTGCAAAATTTCGTGCCAATCGGCCTAAATTTGACTCTTTGGTGCACCATTTGCTTAAAATCGGGCGATAATATATATAGGAGCTATATCTAAATCTGAAACGATTTCAATAAAACTTGGCAAACTTTAGTCTATCCTAACTTCAGTACGCTGTGCCGAATTTCGTGCCAATCGGCCTAAATTTGACTCTTTGGTGCGCTATTTGCTAAAAATCGGACGAAAATATATATGGGAGCTATATCTAAATCTGAACCGATTTTTCCCAATTTCAATAGGGTTCGTCCCTGGGCCAAATATGTGGCTTGTGCCAAATTTCATCCAAATCGGATCATAAATGCGTCCTGCACTTTGTTTACAATTTAAGGACAGGCGCGGACATGCATAAATCGACTCAGAAAGTGATTCTATGCATATTCTAAAAAGGAACCATGGGTCTATCTCGTTTCCTTTTGCCTGTTACAAACATATGCACAAAGACATAATATCCTGTACCACAGTGTGGTAAAGGGTACAAAAATCGTAACACTATTTCAGTCCATCATACCATTATGTGATATAAATTTTAAATTTTTTGAGACTTCTGACGTTCCGGGACGAACTAGTTCAAAGGAACTATTCTGTAAAAGAAATGATTGGTATTAGGTCCGTTTATTTCGTTCATCTAGTTTCTTTTGCTCTCGTTCGCCTAGTTCCGTGCGATACAATCGCACTAAATTACAATAGAACTAAATTAATGACTTAGTTTCTTTTACGAAGCGAACAAAAGAAGATCGAACCGCTAGAGGAACGATATTGTCCAACTCTATTCTCTTGTCCTTTAAGATCCGAAGTGTCTATAAACAGGCAATTCGATACATATAAAGTTGATTCAGATACTTTTTATCCATTAAAAATTCTAGCTGGAATAAGGTAGCGATGCTCTGTGCAAGACCTATGCCACCAAAAGGCGCAACTGGAGAAAAACTATATACCTAAAAATTATACCAGCCTATCCAGTGAGTAGTACAAGGTCATGTGCAAATGTTAACGCTTTACCCCGGTTTCAAACCCCAGCTGATGAGGAACATTGCGTTCAAAGTGGTATCCGAATATTTTTAAAAATCCAGATGAAGCGCATTTGAAGCATTAATATCAACACATGAGGATAACACCAAATAGGAAAGGCAGGAGATGGCGCCACCTAGAGAAAAATAACAACACAAAATAAGCAAAGGCTCCAACCGCTGCACAAAATTCAAGGAGGCGTTGTATATGGGAAACGATAGATGCCGACCTCATTACCTAGGGCTACAACAGAGCAAACATCTACTTAACTGTAATAAAAAGATGATTGACTAAACTCATGCAAGAACTAATGGAGTATGATGGCCTATGCTTCCAAAAGGAGATCACAAATCTTTACATAAAAGACAATACCAAGCCTCTACTATTCTATAATAACCTGGGAATTGTACTAGGGCAGTGCAGAATTTTAATGCTCCAGTACCATAACTCTGATCAAGAATGTAGTATCCAAAGAGTTGTATAAATCTAATCCAGGACCTGAACCACTGCATAAAATTCAAGGATACATTTTTTCTAGGCAACGATAGATGGCACCTCAATCCCCCAGCGCAGGCTACAAAAGACCAATTATCTATTTAGCTGAAAAACAATGAAGATTAACGAAACTTATAAAAGGACTAATCGCAAAGCATTCTTGAAGCCGTGTACTCCTATGAGGTACAACAGGAGAAAATAAATAGTGTACAAAGTCTATCATATTTATGTGCAGAATTTTAATTCTAACCCAGATCTCAACCAGACTAGTTTGCTCCAAAACCAATTGAATCTGATTCAAAGTAAATTTTAAATTTTACATACCAGTTTAATATGAGTCATCAAACTAATTAAATTGTTTCAAATTAAATTAGGGTATCTCGGTGCCGAATCGTACCAAGCTTAGAAATTAGGTTGAATTTATTTTCGAGGTGCTAATTACAAACATTATTTTTTTGAAAATTTGGGGTTTTTTGGAAATAATCAAAATTTGTGTTTAATGCAAATTTGTCACAACAACAAAAATCTATCGGTCTCATAACATCCTCTTTATATTCTTTTTCCAGAAATCCATTCCCTTAGCGATGTCAGTTTAACAGGAAGGAGATCCTACCTGGCAGTAAGATGGCCATACCTATACGACAACAGCGATAAAATGGGTGCAAAACGTTCACAAATCATCAGCTATCGTAACTTTACAAAGAAATTAATGCCACCAAAACCCATTGCGTCATCGAATCAACATTTCGTCATGAAACTACTGAATGAAGTTGAAAAGCAGAGGAATTTCTCCCCTGTACCTCTGATGGGTTCCAAATCCTTTGAAGAACATCATCGTGTGCAATTCTTCTTTATTGAATTCCAATTGCGACCGCTGTCGGAACGAGGTCTTCTTCTATATTTTGGTAGCCTCAATAAAAATATGGATAAGAAAATCGGATTTGTTTCGCTCTCTCTGCAAGGTGGTGTGGTGGAATTCCGTATCTCTGGTCCAAGTAATCATGTTACTGTGGTACGAAGTGTTCGTATGTTGGCTATTGGTGAATGGCATAAAATTAAAATGGCACAACGTGGCCGATGGCTGACCCTGTGGGTTGAGGGTAGTGCCTCATCGGCATTGGCTCCGAGTGCAGAGGTTTTGGTAGAACCTGATGCCCTGCTATATGTTGGAGGTTTGAAAGATTTGTCGAAATTGCCGCATAATGCCATATCCGGTTTCCCTGTACCATTCCGTGGCTGTGTTCGAGGTTTGGTCGTGAGCGGTACAAGAATTGTCCTGAATGAAACGAATATTATTGGTAAGAGGAAGCCTCTCTATTTTGTTATCATGTTTTCAATTTAAAATTATTTCTATTTTTAGAATCCCGTAACATCCGCGATTGTGATGGCACTGCCTGTGGTGGTGATTCCTGTGAGGCTGGTGGCCATTGCTGGCTCGACGAGAAGTTACAACCTCACTGCATTTGCCCCGAATATGCAAAGGGTGATCGTTGTGAATACTCGGAAACTTGTAAGCTGATACCTTGTAAAAATAATGGCCGCTGCCTGCGAAGTGGTAGATGTTCATGCCCGAACGGCTGGGGTGGATTCTATTGTGAAATTGGTAAGTTTTCGAAAAATTTGTTTTGAAGGAAATTTCGAGAGAAACTTCAGTTACAAGGAGTCCTCTTCTATGTATAGATGATCTGCGGACCTCTTCGATGTGTAGAAAGGAGAGGTTGGGACCTCTTCTAGGTATAGAAGGGTTGGGGTCAAGGTATAAAAGAGCCGGGAACCTCTTCTATGCAGAGAAGAGTATGGGGTATCTTCTACGTAGAGGAGCGTTTTAGACCTCTTCTATATATATAAGGTGTTGGAACCGCTTCTATATAGATATGAGGTTGGCACCGCTTTTTTGTACAGAGGAGTTTGAGGACCTCTTTTATGTACAGAGGAGTTTGGAGACCTATTCTTTGTATAGACGATTTTGGAGTCTTCTATGTAAAGAAGAGTTTAGGAGAGTTTGAGAACCTCTTTGATGTAACAAATATTTTGGGACTTTTTTATGTATAGATGGGTTTTGGGGTTCTCTTCTATACTTAGGCCACTTTGGGGACGTGTCGGAGAGTTTGGGGACCTCCTCTATGGATGGAGAATTTGGGGATCATGTATAGAAGAGTTTGGGTACCTATTATATATAGAAGTGTTTGGGGACCTTTTCTATATTTAGACGAGTTTGGGAACCTCCTCCATGTATTTAAGACTTTGGGGACCTTTTCTATGCATAGAGGAATTTGGGGACCTCTTCTATGTATAAAGGAGTTTGGGGTCCTCTGATATGTATAGAGGAGTTTGGGGACCTCTTTCATGTATTTCATATGTGGGCCTCTTTCATTTTATGTATCGAAGAGCTTGGGAACCTCTATGTATAGAGGAGTTTGGGGACCTTTTCTATGTATAGAGGAGTTTGGGGACCTCTTCCATGTATTAAAGAGTTTGGTGACCTTTTCTAGGTATAGAAGTGTTTGGGGAACTCTTCTATGCATAGAAGAGTTTGGGGACCTCTTCTATGTATAAAGGAGTTTGGGGACCTCTGCTATGTATAGAGAAGTTTGGGGAACTCTTTCAAGTATTGATGAGTTTGAAGACTTTTTTAGGTATAGAGGAGTTTGAGGACCTCTATCATGTATAGAAAAGTTTGGGGACCTCGTCTATTTATAGAGAAATTTGAGGACATCTTCCCTGTATTTGAGGGTTTGGGGACCTCTTCTATGTATAGAGGAGTTTGGTGACCTCTTCCCTGTATATAAGAGTTTGGAGACCTCTTCGATGTAACGAAGAGTTTGGGGACTTCTTCTATGTATAAAGGATGAACTCTGGAATGTATTTATATGAGAGGTATGCCTGATACATACACATGTTCGTCTATTATTTTTTCTGTTTATATCCATTTTCCCTTCTTATTTTATTTATTTCTCTTTCATTTTCTTTTTGCGTCCAGCTCTCAGCAAACCAACAACACCCAGCTTCCGTGGCAATAGTTATTTGATCTTACCACCACCACGTATACCCATGAAAGATAAACGAAAGGGACCCTCCATGTTTGTCCGACCACGTGAAGCAATACAAATTTCATTGAATTTCTCCACCATAGAACCCGATGGTTTGCTGCTATGGAGTGAACATGATCGTCAGAAATTCTTAGGGCTCGGTTTAGAAAATGGTCATTTAAAAATAGCCAGTAATCTACTCGGTTCCGATAATGATACCGTATCAACACCATCGAGTGGCTTCATAACTGATGGTAGCTGGCACATGGCACGAATTGTTGTCGATCGATCACATCTTGAATTACAATTGGATGGCGAAGTGATATTTACAGAGAAATTGGCGCCACAGGAATTAATGCAATTGTCGTCGGTAAGCAGCACAACATCACCGCATAGAACGAGATCGAGAAATTCATTGCTGGCGCGAAGGGGCAAAGAGCCGACGATAACCTATGAAGATTTATTCTATTTGGGTAAGTGGGACATATTTAAGAATTCTTGTTATAAGTTTTTGGGGATTTGGGAAACGATGATGGCTCTGATAGGTCCTAAATATTCTCACCTGAGCCGATGATTCCATTACTTCGATAAAAAAAATGTCCATTTTAAATATCGCTCCAAAAAAAAAAAAACTAAATTGATATTAATGATCTGAAGACACCACATGGAAAAATAACATTTTTTCCCACCCCATAAAACCTGTATTTATTTTCCCAAAAACAAAACTAAAATCTTCCCATAATTTACACAACACCAAGAAAATTACTTAGTTCGCTGATTGCCACACATAATAAAGCTGCACGTGATATGCTGAATGGCTGGCAGACTGGCATGTCTAACCCACTCCCCAAAATACAAACCCAATTCATTCCATTCATTCATTATTAAGAAGAAGGCGAACGTCGATGGGAATGGTGGAGATGAAAAACAAAAAAAAAAACTTGCAACTTTAAATCGAGCATACCTTGCAAATGGTAATCGAAACCTGCCGAAATGCCAAAGTGTAAAACGCCAAAGGGTAGACAACAACTACCATTAGCAGCCAATAAAAGTACACGAAGCATCAACAAAAAATATCTTACAACTATTTGTGGGTGGAGGGGAGCTCCACTCATGTTATAGATGATGTTATAGAATAAAGTCACTAATTATAGCAGATGTTGGTATAACCTTCACTAGGAGGAACCAAAAAATAACAAATTCTGGTGGTACTGTTAAATTGAGACATGGTTAAAATGTCATTTCAGGGCCGACTTATTGAACAGAATTGAAAAAATCTGTGGCAAATGTCTGTCAAATTATAGTAAGTTCGGATGGGAAATTCGGCAAGGGCCTTCAGAAATAAATGGGTGGTATAATACCTATGATGCTGTTCAATTTAAAATATCCTCATATCGTTTCTGTATCATTTTTGCATTACGAATTATTATTTTATTCCAAATAAGCCTCAGTTTCAGCAATCGCCTTTTGATTCGAAGTAAATTCGGTATTTTGAGAATTATTGCACGTTTTTCAGTCCATCATATAATGGAATTTCCTAAATACCGATAGTAAATTTTTCCCAAAAAAAGTACAAACCAGTGAGCGGAGCAGAATAGTCGGTCAAGGCTGACCGATATGACACCCTACACAACTACCACTTAGCACTTAGTATCTGTGAATCTATATTAGTGACATTTGCAATATCGTTATATTACACAAAAAAGTTTTGGTTCATTGATTCAAAACAGTCAGGCTTTTTCTGTGGTCAGGCTCCTTTCTCTGTGTAAAATTTCTTGATGATCGGGTCATAATTGTGGCTATTGGCCTATAAATGTGGCCTGCCTATATCGTGTTTACAAATTATTTCGCAGTGTTACAATCTCCTGGGGCAATGCAAAGCTATACTCGTAATACCCTTACAACATATAAAGAGTCTGTCGCTGTTGCCGACATGTGGTTTGACAAGGCGGAGTATTTCTTTAATTTCTAATTAAATTTTTTATGTTATCATAATTGTGACAGTTTTTGAGGAAGGTACCGCACATGGTGGACCGATATAACTGATCGTTTCAATCAACCTTCATATATTATATATATATATATATATATATATTAATGTCTTCCATGTTTAGACCGCACATGATTTACCATTTGTTTTATGTAAGGTGTATGATGATTTTATCAAAGACCAGAAAGTGTGGACAGATGAGTCTCATCTTCGGACTTGGTCTAGGCTTATTAAACATATTACAATGTGCACAATTTGGATAAAAGTTTGATATTGCGTTCACTACATATTTCGATGAAACACATTTTTATCGTAACATAGTGTATATAGCCCATAAGGCTGGTGGTATAAAAAATGAATTGGAAATTCTATTACCAAAAGTTATCAATAGGGACTCAAAATTCAAAATATAACGGTACATCTCATTATTCAGCATTTTGCGAACCATATATGGTAATTTATTACATATTTTTTACACTGTCCTTCTGAGAGTGTGGCGAATAAATGAACGTTTAGGTGTTGGTATCAAAAGCGTGAAGAATAGAGTTTAGTCATTGCTGAACAAAGTAGTTCAATGAAACTATTCCGCAGAAGAAAAGTTCATCTAGTTTCAGTATTTTCTTTTATACATTCGATAACCTAATTCCTTTTGATTCAATCGTTCATCTGAATCTTCTCGTTCATTGACCCAATTAACTGACATGTGCCAATGAATATTTGAATTGTTGGAAATATGGAACTAGTTCCGTTGGCTGGGTGAACCGAAAAACAAATTGAACCGCTTCAGGAAAGAGATTGCTTTCCTAACTCTAGTAAAGAATATAAATATATACCTACGAATTTCAGTGATGTACATAAGGTATCTTGGAACTCCATACTAAATGAACACAAACCCTTCACCATTTAGGTTATATACAAGAGATAGTAGTGAACAAGAGAAAGATTCAAAAGAAATATCTAGGAATCGGAAGTATATGGGACAAAGGAACTATATTAAGGAACTAGTTCCTTTAAAAAAGCAACGAGAAACATCGAACTATATGGCGAGGATATTTATAGCAATTTTCAGGTAGTCCATTTAGCGTACGTACATGAATTCTATACGCAATGTATCCAACCATGGGAAATATTACTAGATAAAATTTGACAGATATATACATAACCTTATTATTGCATCATGATAACACCTAGTTCATTCGCTATTTTCAATAAATCGTTCTTTTGAACTAGTCAGTTGTTGAACTGTACAACGTCACAACTTTGAAGAAGCATGGACCCCAACCACCGCACAAAATTCAAGTAAGCATTGTTTCTAGTCAACGATAGATGACATCCTCCATCACCTAGAACATTCTACAGCAGACCAATCATCTACTAAGTTAAGAATATATTAAAGGTATTTTATCCAGTCGATAGTGTGTCAAACTACAAAACGATGGATTCCGGGTTTGAATCCCAGAGAAGGGGATAAATCGTTCAAAGTAGATTTCGAATTTTTGTAAAAATCTGACATAGATCTCACTCTATATGAGATACATCCGAAACACCCCTGACATGAAATGGCAGGAGATAGCGCCACCCAGAAGAAAATTACAAAACTGATAATCCAGGGTCCCAGCCACTACAAAAAGTGTATGATGACGTTGTTTCTAGACTACGATAGATGGCAGCTCCATCACTTAGGGATAGGATGCTTAGGGATACATAGTAGAGCGAAAAAGTCGAAGTTTAGACTATTCGATTTTTGGCCCTGACTAATAGTTGACTTTTAGATTTTTTTTTGCCTTCGACTAAAGATTCGATTTTTCGATCTTTCACAATCGATTTTCGATTTTTACTGACTAATGCATAATCAATTTCTAGTTGATTTTTTTATATGTCAATAGATAATATAAAGTTCTGGAATGTGCACAATTTTGACAATTTGGGCTTCATGATAATAAACCAAGTATTTATGAAGAAAGGCGGAAGTCGTTCTTGAAAAGTTAATTTTGCGATTTCTTCAAAGATCAAAAGTCGACTTCGACTTTTAGACTTTTCAATACAAAGCCGATTAATAGATTAGTCGAAAATCGGTTTATTTATCCCTAGACATGCTACAGCAGACCAAATATTTACTTAGCTGGAATGATTAACGAAACTAACACAAAGACTAAACCGACTAAGATGGTGATGCTTTGTGGAAGCCCTTTGCTGCCAAGAGGAGTAGCAGGAGAAAACAATCAACTGAGTGTCCATTTTTATACCCTTCACCACACTGTGGTACAGGGTATTATGTCTTTGTGCATATGTTTGTAACAAGCAAAAAAAAACGAGATAGACCCATGGTTCCTTTTGATAATTTGCATAGAATCACTTTCTGAGTCGATTTACGCATGTCCGTCCGTCCGTCTGTCCATGTTAAATTGTAAACAAAGTACAGGTCGCATTTATGATCCGAATTGGATGAAATTTGTTTGGCCCAAGGACGAACCCTATTGAAATTGGGAAAAATCGGTTCAGATTTAGATATAGCTCCCATATATATTTTCGTCCGATTTAAGGTAAGTGGGGTACCAAAGTCCCTACATATCTTTCGATTTGCACGAAATTTGGTATAGCCTACTGATGTGTTGTAAATTTCGTGAAAATCGGTTCAGATTTATATACAGCACCTACATATAGTTTCGCCCGATTTTAGGTAGATGGTCTACCAAAGTCCCTATACATCTTTCGATTTGCACGAAATTTTTTATAGCCTATTGAATTAGGTCTAGAATGATGTGTGCAAAGTTTCGTGGAAATCGGTTTAGATTTACAAATAGCTCCCATATATATAGTTTCACCCGATTTTAGATTAATGGTGCACCAAAATCTCTGAAAATCATTTGATTTGCTCGAATTTTGGCATAGCGTATTGAATTAAGTCTAGAATGACATGTACTAAGTTTCGTGAAAATCGGTTCAGATTTAGATATAGCTTATATATAGAATAGCGTGTGCCAAGTTTGCTTTAAATCGATTTACACAAATCTGTCCCACGGTGCGCAAACGACATTAAACTTGCCCAAATAAAATGAAATTTAGCATAGGTTCCAGAAAGACATAAAAATCACATATTGAAGTTTGTTCAATTTCATGTCAAAATTCCTTCAAAAAGGCGACGTCTTTTCGGATACATATGTAGAATATACCCAAAGTGGTGAAGGGTATTATGATACCCGTCGGCCCAGTCCGACTTTACTACTTTCCTTACTGGTTATAACATAAACTGTGGACCGTTTACAAATACAACATAGATCGGATCAGGTTTATATATTCTAATGTTCGGAATTGTGAATTAAATCTCCCATCAAAGGCATGCGTTTTTCAAGATGCACTGGATACCTCTAAGTTAAAGTGTTATCTATGAAATAGAATGCAATCTGAGACATGTCTTTCCCAAGATACGTTTGAAAATCCACTTTAAAGTGGCATCTATCAAATATGTTGAAATTTTTAGAA